TATAAATTTCGAGCACCTGCCACCTTATTTTCCAACAACAACCTAAACAATGATGTCTTGGTGCATGCTTGGTGCAAATAATGAAAATTTTGCCAAGATGTAGCAGGGCACAAGTGGGCATGGCTGCAGCACAACGGGCAACATGCTGAGCGATCCTTTTTGCTTTGTGCTTCAGGTTTTTCTGGGTATCCATCTGGCACCAGACTATCTCCAAAGGACATGCGCACAACACGGACTGGGGCCTGCTCTTCAATGGACGGCGGATGTCAAGAAGAACACGTGTGACACGGCTGAACTTCGCTTCATCGTGCCAGCGTGGCTATCTACGACTGACGTCACATCACGTGCCGTATTCAAGGGCTATAAAAGCTCCCCCGGTTCCGTCGTTCGCCAGTGGGCATGGCTGCAGCACAACGGGCAACATGCTGAGCAATCCTTTTGCTTTGTGCTTCAGGTTAGTCATCACCATCTTGCTTATTGTATACGTAGTGATGACCGATTTTTAGTGCTGCTGCCCTGCCCACTGTGTGTTCATTGCTTTCATAACAGTGTTGTTCTGTTATCAAGGGATCTTTTGGCATATGGAGATATTGAATCAAACACAGGACCTCCTAACGAAGATATGTTGAAGGAACTGTTGGAAGGACAAAAGAAGCTTACTTGTGTCGTTGAACGCGTTCGAGAATCGCAAGTAAAGATTGAAAAAAGAATTTCAGGTTTAGCAGATCGTATAGACAGCCTCGAACAGAAATTGAATGAACTTAGCAGTTTGTCTTTAGACGTTAAGAATATGAAGGTGTCAACATCAAAGCTTGAAGAGCAGGTATCAACACTTATTGAGAAAGTAGATGACCTTGAGAATAGAAGCCACGGAAATAATCATTTACGAGTTAGAGGAGCCCCCTGACGAGAAGTATGAGGACCTGAAAGCTAAAATGGAGGAAGATATTTTTCAGCAGAAGTTGGAAATAACGGTAACAGGCATTGAAAGATGTCACAGGTTTGGCAAAAAAACAAAAGCCGGGCCACGACCTGTGATGATAAAATTTCTTGATTACTGGAAAAAAACTAACGTTTTGTCGAGTGCATTTAAATTAAAGGGAAGCACATTGTCCCTGTCTGAAGACTTTTCCAAACGAGTTTGAGAAATACGGAAGCAATTGTGGAAAAGTTCAGAGAAGGAAAGGCTGCGTGGCTGTAAGGCAAAGCTAGTTTATAATAAACTTAAGGTCGATGACGTCTTGTTTGCATGGGACGAAGGAAAGGGGTCACGCTATTGGCTGAAGAAATAATCTAATTGACACAAAAACAAGCACTATGGCGTACTAAAAATACTAAATGTAAATTGTAGGAGCGTTCTTAATAAGGCCACTGAATTAGAGGCATTAATACTTTCTCATGAGCCTGCTATTGCTGTCTTGTTGGAAACGTGGCTAAGCGACTCGGTTTTTGATAGTGAATTTGTTCCGTCTGGCTACAGCGCATACAGAAATGACCGGGCTAGTAAAGGCGGCGGCGTTTGTGTACTTTTCAAGGGTAACCTTAAAATATGTAGAATGGCTGATGTGCCAGGAGTAGAAGGTATATTTTGTAAGGCTTATCACAACGATGTCCATTACATTATAGAAAGTGTTTATAGGCCCCCAAATGCCCCTGTTGACGTACTGAATGAATTGAAAAACTATTTGAAACTGAATATTAAGCCTGATGACCAGATTATAATGAAAGGTGATTATAATTTACCTAATGTAGATTGGAAAAAATTTGCCCTGAAGCAGTGCGACCCTTCGGGTGAAGCTATGCTTGATATTTGCTACATTTTTGACCTCCTTCAGCTAGTTGAAGGCGACACAAGAATTCAAGGGACCACTCAGTCAACCCTACACCTTTTCTTCGTTAACCAGGCAATTACAACTAAAGCAACGACTGAGATATATCCGGGAATTTCCGATCATCATGCAGTGCTATTTACTCTAAGTGACACAGTGTTCGATAAGACATTGCCCTGTTTATCTTTCCCTAATTTCGATCGTGCAGATGATACTGCTATTATAGATCTCCTTTCATTCAACTTTGATAACTTTGCGAATAATGAAACTGATATACATAATTTATGGAACTGGTTTAAGGACATTGTCAAAGAATGCATTGAATCATTTGTGCCTCTGGTAATTAAAAAATCGAAGCGAAAAAATCCGTGGATTTCTCGGATAACACTGAGGTTAAGAAGGCAAATAAAGCGTCTAAAGAAAAAACGAAGTCTGAACGTAGCGTATTCAGAACAAATAGCTAAGCTTTCAGTAAAACTGAAAAATCAAATTCAAACAGATAAGCAGCGTTATTTTGGGGAATCCTTGCCGCATTACTTGACCTCGTGTCCCTGAGAAATTTTGGAGGAGCATTTCGCCAGCTTCGAAAGAGTGTGACGTTTTTAATGTCGATGGTTTTCTTACGCACAATATTGCTCGAATTGCAAATGCTTTTAACGATCACTTCAAATCGGTTTTTTCTTGTGACAACTCTGTATTACCGATCTTTGAAACTGTTTCGCCGCGAATGCCCGATATTGTTGTTAGTGAACAGGGCATATTGAACATGCTTGTGAACCTTAATATCAGAAAGTCCTCTGGACCGAACAATATCCCTAATGCGTTCTTAAAGAGATACGCTGAATGGATGTCGAAATACCTCCATGTTCTTTTTACAAAATCGCTGCGTGAGGGCCAGGTTCCAGACGACTGGAAAACAGCTAGAGTCAAGCCTATCCATAAATCGGGCAACAAGCAGAGTGTCAAAAATTATCGCCTCATCTCGCTAACTTCAACCGTTTGTAAACTTTTGGAACACATTATACACAATAGTATTTCATGTTTTCTGGACGAACATAGTATCTTAAACCAACATCAGCATGCATTCAGGAAGGGATTTTCAACAACGACACAATTGGTATCAACAATACACGACTTCGCTACTTCAATTAATAATGGAAAACAAACAGATGCAATTTTTATGGATTTTTCAAAAGCTTTTGATAAGGTTTCGCACAATAAATTAGTATACAAATTAGAAAAAATTCTTGGGAATGATCAACTTATTAAATGGATATCGGCCTACTTGAAAAACAGAGAACAGTTTGTAGATTTTAACAATCATTGCTCTCACAGGCTTTCCGTTGACTCTGGCGTCTCCCAAGGGTCGGTTCTGGGTCCCCTTCTATTTATTTTATATATTAACGACATAGTAAATGGTATACCTGTAAATATAAGGCTCTACGCGGACGATTGCGTTATTTATTCTGAAATAGAATCCTCAAAGAACAAGTGTTGTTAAACGAGTCGTTTAACAGGGTTGTTTCCTGGTGCGAGGGGCTTGGCAAATGTCCATCAATTTTGAAAAAACAGTGTACATGTCCATTTCTCATAAGAAAAACTAATTAAATTTTCAATACTTTACAAACAATGCCATTCTTTCCGAGGTTCAATCCTACAAGTATCTTAGGTTATGGATAACAAATGATCTTAACTGGACAAAACACATTGACATAGTAACTTCCAAGGCTAATCGGAAACTTTTCTTTTTACGAAGGACTTTGAAACTCTCCCCTCCATCTGTCCGTGTTCTTGCTTATAAATCAATAGTCCTCCCCATACTTGATTATGCTGCAGTGATCTGGGATTCATTTACTCAAACTAACATTCATAAAGTTGAAAAAGTACAAAGAAGAGCCGTTCGCTTCATATATAACAGTTATGGACGAACCTCGGTAAGTGAACTGTTAGTAAGAGCTAACTTACTTTCACTTTTAGAAAGAAACCGCATATCCCGATTAAAATATTTGTATCAAATAATTAATGGGCATTACAAGATAGATATTGGAAAATTTATTTCATTTTCTTCAGGTTACGCCACCAGACAACGCCATGATTGTACAATAACTCTCTTTCGTACCCGCAATAACTGCTTCAAATATTCTTTTTTCCCCAGAACTCTGCAGGATTGGAATAGTTTAAATAACCATCAAGTCACAACACAGTCTTTAACATCCTTTGCCGCTGGTCTGGAACAACAGAGAAAATAATTTTACTTGTGTGCTAGTTCTGTTTTCTTTTCTTAAAATGAGAGTGATGTGTCATCAGTAAAATTTTGTTACGTTTGTTTACGTTGTAAAACCCAAGTGATAGTTATTTGTTTGATTTGTGTTATATGGCTGCCTACTATGTGAAATGTGATAGGCTGTTCTATCTGTTTGCCTGGTGTTCTACGCTGATGTTTACGTCTTTTGTACCCACCTGCTAAAATCCCTCCAGGGGATCGCAGTACCAATAAATAAATAAATAAATTGGTGCAGCTGTCAACTCACTGTCATGAGTATGCATGCGTCTGCAAAATATTTATTTAACCTCACACACGAAAGCATTGAACCTGATCCCATCAGAACTGAGTGGTGCTTGCATTGGCTACCCTTCTGTATCTCCCACTCCTGTTGTATTCACATTCCTGGACAAGCATGGGCGTCGGCGGGGTGGTGCAAAAGGGGCCCTTGCCCCCCTCTCAAGCCTCACCAGCACTTGCCCCCACTATAACTAAACTAGTGCTCTCCCCCTCTTCCAGCTGTAATGCAACACTGGTTTGCACCCCCCCCCCCCTCAAGAAAAAATCCTGCGGACGACCATGTGGGCGAGTCATGTCAGTTTTGCAGTACTTCCCTTAGACATGTGTGCTGCATGGATGACTTGTTTTATTCTTCTTTATCTTTTTTTCCTCTTTTTTTTGCGCATGCTCCTTCATGTATATAAGCACATGAAACAGCTGCAGCAATAAATTATGTAGTAAGGCAATGGAATGTGCATTCTTTCTTGTCTGCAAGTCTACCAACATGGTATCAGGTGCAGCAATAAATTATGTAGTAAGGCAATGGAATGTGCATTCTTTCTTGTCTGCAAGTCTACCAACATGGTATCAGGCAGCTAACAAAAAGTTGGTCAAGACAGGACACTTACAGCCACTTGCTCAGGAGTCCAGGTGTCCAGGTTGACAGACTTGACCCGCGATATGTGGACACCAAGGTTGCGATGTATACCCGCACAACGGATACAAAGGAACATACCCAGGTTCCAAGATGCCCATCGTGGACCTTGAGGATAACAACAGATCAACATTGGCACACATTAAGAAAAATAATAGCATGAGATGCTTTGGTGGCAAGAAAAACAAATTACACAACAATGCACGTACCACATGCCTTCTATGCAATGAACTGATTCAAAGGTGAGTATTCTCAAGGATAAACTTGAGTATTTCAGTCACTAGCCTTTCCAGACAGCTGTCTGATGAGTTTCCAGGCAGCAGTCTGATGGGTTGCTCAATAACTTGTTACCAAACATAGTGTAACCATGTTTTTCAAAGCAGCAGGGCATTTCTAGTGTCAGGTGACACCACTAGCAATCAAGTTCAAGAAACAGGTGTCACACTTGCAACACAGTCGGAAAAGCCTGGCTGAACTCGTGTAAGCCAAGTGAGCTGAAGCAAGCATTGAATAAAGTTAATATGTAGACATCAAATCGACCCTTTTAACACCCCATGAGAGCAATTTTGTATTTGTATGTCTTTCCCAAAGCGGTGCACACTTTTGTTCACCTTTAAAGGGGCCCTGTAACACTTTTTTAAGTAATCGTGGAATGGATTCACTAAAAAACTTTATTGCCTCATGAATTCAACACTGCAAAAAGTTTAAGAATACCTCCAGTACAAACAGAGTTACAAATATTGGTCACATACTGTAGACCCCCTCGTTTCTTCCCTCGTTGTGACGAAAGGGCTGGAAGCTAAGCAGAGGGAGTACGCACAAAGAAAATACCTCACCCGCACCTCGTAACCTTGAGCCCTTTTTTCTTTTTACTTCGATTACGTAATTTTTTCAGTGTAATCAGGAAAAGTTGTGGCCTCTCGCGACGATCCCTGTAACGACCGAGCGCGCCATGTTCAAATCAGCCAATGGCTGATGGAAGGCCTTCTACAATATTTGACTTGCAAACTGCTTTTAAGAGCTTCAACTACAGATAGGCAGCCCTTTTTGACCATGCTCAGAAAGTGTTGCAGGGCCCCTTTAAAGAGACCCTTCAACTGCTATAATGCAATGATCTTGCTATTCATGCATGATACTTCACGAATCACATGAAGCAAATATTTGCTGCATGCTTCACGTACTTGCTCTCCCCCGTCACATTGGCGAGCGTGCTGAAAGCTACGTAGGGAGGGGAATGACAAGAGAGGGAAGGAGATCCTTTGTCATTGCACGTCACGGCCTCGCACATTTTTGCCAGACTTTTTTATTATGCAGCTTAGTTGCCGTCAGATGACAAGCATGTGGTGGTGTTTCACAACAGTCACGGTGACTACACAGCTCCTGTCCCTCAAATCGGCCAATGGCCTTTGGGTATACACATACCTGCAGACCTGGCAATAGAGAAATTCGTAAAACTCTGAAGTGGGGAAGGGGGGGGGCGGTGGTTACAGACTTGTTTATATGTTTAGTTGTGATGGATTTGCCTTTAGCAACAAGCATAATCACGTTTTGCCATGATAAGCCAAATCGGGGCACTGAATTATTTTCTCCCATTTTTGACACCAAAAGAAGAAAAAAAAAACATTGTGAAAAACTATGGGGGGGTCCAAATGCAAGCAAAAACATCAGTGCAGCAGTCTCATAATGGCTTGGAGTGGCTGAACAAACGAGGGTAGGGTTTTCCGCTAAGGTGAGAGCCTATAAGGGGAAGCACAAATTCTTCCGGCCGAAATTTCGCGTCATCAAAACAACAAGCAAAATATATTTTCATCAAAATAACTCGCGTATGTCTTCCTGACCTACTTCAAAGGACGGCACGGCCGACTTGGCTGCCGCGAAAGCGCGGGTCAAAGCTTTGACTTTGCTCACTACTAGATTCTTTGGACAAGAACGGCAAAATGCTTCTAGTCTTTTTTACGTTTTTACCGCCTTTCATCCTACCGCTGCATTAGGCACATGCCCTCGAAGCTCGTAGATCACTATAGCATCGCCGCGACCGCAATTTTGTGCGTGGCGATTTGCGGGAAACTGTAGTTTTGTTTTCAATCCACGTGCCTTCAAAACTAAGTCGTTTTAGGCTATCTATCGTCGTAACTGCCGCGGCTTTTTCCACAGCGGTTGTGGCAATGATAACCACACGCACTGTACGCTGCTCTCGATCGGCCTTCGTTTGACGGTTTCGGTACTAAAGTTTATATCACACGCCGCGATTATGAAAAGTGTTCGGAACACTCGAATTTTGGCCCAATGGACACAAATATTTGGCTGGGGAATTTCACGAATTCCTATCTGTCGCGGTTTTGCATCACTGAGACACTACTGTGTCTTTAGATGAATGCCTCTCAAATTCGTTTATAATGCAGTGGGCTCGCAAAAAGCCTGGAACGAGGACTGGCCTGCATTTTTGTCAATGAGGCCAGATTTCGCCCACACATTTAGATTTTCGGGAGATTTTCATGGCAACCTTACACACGGAAGAAACGGTCGCAATCCGGGAGTCTCCTGGACAATGCGGGAGACTTCGCAAGTATGTGATGATGATAACAGCAATACATATAGTTCTCTCCTGGTGGCGGAACATAGCACAACGCAGTTTTTTTGGCCTCCGCAACCAGCTACGGCCCGTACCAGCTATGCGCCTTGGCTATCTTGTAGGCCACGCTATTTTACTAATTTAAGTATTTTTATCGAAAATGAAACATGAAAATAAAAATTTTTCGTAAAATCGCATGCACGATCGAAATTCCTACTTTTCACGGGAAGATAAGAAGAGTTGGCAGGTATGATACAGCATCATTTATAGAAGAATCGGGAATTTCTACCTAACCGAAAATTGTCAATTCTAAGCAACATATTGTGTTATGTTTGGTATTCTTGGCAGCCTCAACTACCAATTGGCAGGTCCCCTTTAAGCATTTTGAAACATGCAGCGGCATTGAGCATTTTCAGCAGAGGTGCACTCGAGTGGCCGCCCGTGATCTACAGGAAACTTCCTCGCCACTTGTCTGACCAAATATCCATGCTTCCTCAGATAAATTAGCACGTGCTTCACCAGGAGCATGTTATCGGTCCAAACTTTTTTTTTTTTCAATGCAGGTCACCATGTCTATTGGGCCACGTATGCTCCTTGGCGCACATTATGTCACAGCCTTCAACTGCCACAATGTGCCACCTGCCAGCTGCTTGTGCGCTCTACACAAAGCCTGCAGTTCTCATTAATGCAAGTCGGCACACCAGGCAACTGCAGCCTCTGACCTTTGCTTTATACTCATAACTGAATGCAGGAACAGCGCAACCTAGAAGTAGTTACTTCGTAACTACGGAAGCGAAAAAAAAAAAAAAAAAAAAACACCGAGAAGTGGAAAACCCCTTTTACCTTTCCACTCAGCTCATTCAAAATTGGTGAAAAGGGGTATCATTAAAGGTTGCCAGGTAAACGCTCTCAAGAGGTCATGCCCGCACTCGATGCGATGCAGTTTCAAAGCACAGGTAGAGCGCCTCATAAGCGCCGGTTACTCGAGCCCCCTAATTTCTGCTGTTGCGGAAAAACTTTTGAAGCAAATTAAAAATCGAGGAGGGCGATCTCAGCCTCAAAGCGCGTCTGTTGCCATGAAATATGTTGCAGTTCCGTATCTGCATAACGTGTCACATCGGCTGAAAAAAATCGGTAAACGTGCTGGGGTCACTTATTTTTTCCGCCCCAGAAAAGCTTACAAAGCTTTGTAAGCTGGTGAATAATCCAGCTGCTATTAAAGGAAGATGCACTGTGAAACACAGAACACGCTTTGTACCTTGTGTTATTGGTATCGTATATCTCATTCCGCTTTCGTGCGGAATGGTATACATAGGGCAAACCGGAAGGTGCCTTAATGACCGTTTAAGAGAGCACAATAACAATGTACACAACGTAGTTCAAGGACACCTCGGAATCCACTGCTGAGACTGCGGCTGCGTGCCAGTTTTTGAGCGTTGCAAGGTATTAAGCAAGCACAACTCGCAGGCCACACGTGAGATAATTGAAGCTTATCAAATAAACAAGTTTGACGGTAATTGTGTAAGTTGCCCATCGGTTGCGTTGTTGCAAAAGGAGATTGCGTATCTCGATCTTTTTTAAGTCACACATCTATTTGTTTTTTCAGCCCATTCAACAAGAGACAAGAGTTTTGCTGACATTGTATTGCAGTAGTTGTTCCTGCACCCTTCTACGCATGCCCGTTTTTCTCATTTTTCACCTATATATGTACACCACTCCGGCATTAAATCTTTGTTGAAAGTCAGCGCTCTTTTGTGTCCTTGTTTTTTCGCTTCCGTAGTTACGAAGTAACTACTTCTAGGTTGGGCTGTTCCTGCATTCAGTTATATCCTACCAACTTGCCCAAGCTTCCACGCTTTATACTCATACTTTCGAGAGAAAACCTAATAGTAAACAGAGAAGCCCTATCAGCTATATGTTAGTACTGCATGACAGCTGAATATCAATATTAGCCTATTAAAACTGAATCATAATGTCAAGGCTAGAACAAAAGTCCCAAGAAACAATCAACCCCATTCACGAACTCAGATTGAATAATGGTGTCATCTTACTAAGGCATGAGGAAACGCTCATAACTAGGCATAGTAAATTGCTCAATAGCCTAATATTCTTCCTTCGTGGTCCAGCTAGCTTCAGATTTAAAGCAGAAAAAAAGCTGCCTTGCAGCAGGTATGTAGCAAAAATAATTGTGTTTAGGAACAGGTTTGCACCTGGAAAAAGTTGCAGTGGGATCACTTAGAGTAATTAGTATGGCAGTTAAGTCTGCAGCTTTCACATGCTTATTTTTATTAATGTACCGCAAAAGGCTCCTCAAATGTAAACAAGATAACACCAAAAGTCAGACAGCAGTCACTATGCTGTTAACACAAAGCAATGTCACATTAGTAACAAGCCGAGTATGATGCCCCTGTCACACGGGCACCAAGTCATTTGAGCGAGAAGACTTCTTCAAAAATAAAAGAAAAGCTTCGCCCCCAGACACACGACAGCGGGCGATCTCTTTTTCGCAAGCGGTCTTTTCTGAAAACAGCGTTTG